AGCGCCTTCAAAGTGAAAAAAAATGTTTCCGAATCTAGTGGCAAATCAACAGACAATACAGCTACTCCAACTGCAAGCACAGCAGCCACACCAACCCCAGTGAGAAGCACAGCAGCTACCCAAACCCTGACAGCAACAGACAATGCAGCTACTCCAACTCCAAGCAGACCAGCCACACCAACCCCAGTGAGAAGCACAGCAGCTACTCAAACCCCGATAGCAACGGACAATGCAGCTGCTGCAAACACTGCAGGTACACCAACTCCAGCGACAAGTACAGTAGATACTCAAACCTCAACAGACGGGAGCATTGAATGTGGAGCACTGCAGTGTCCTAGCCTGTACTAGCAGGCACAAGTGAAGATTCCTGTGTTTATGTTAGATATGAAGCCAAATTATCAGTAAATAAATACAGAATTTACTGTGTTCCATGGTGGCACATCATGTTTTAACAGTGTACACATATGAAGTGCTGTCCTCAATCTCTTGAATCTCAGAACAGGTTTTCCAGACTGCTTGTTGGAAAGGTGCTTATTGATGATAGTGCTAGTATTCGACTTCTGCCCAGATAAGTGTACACTTTTTATCTTTTACTTTTTTTTAGTTTTCCAGAACAGATAACGATCCAAGCCTATGGGATAGTCTTTCAATAAGGGTAATTCTAATTCTGTTGGGAAAAACTAAGAAACATTTTTTAAAGGGTAGATCAATTTCTTATCAATTTCCTTGTTAATGAAACATGCACTGCATTCGCATCAGTAATTCTATTTCAAATTATAAATTTAAAAAATATGTGCATTTTAAAGGTGAATGTCACAAAACCAAAAAAATTTAGTTTCCCATTTAATCTAGACATGAATGAAATAATTTTTTTTAATTCACTACTTTAATTGCATCAGTATAGTAAACTTAAACCTGCTTCCACTTTTACAGCTAAGTATCAATAATGTTTGTGTAGCTGGAATATGCATTGTGACTGTGACAATCTGCTGTGTAAACTGCTGATTCAGGAGGAGAAACTTACTGATTGAGATTAATATTAGCTAATTACTGTTATTTTTTGTTAATGTGGCGTAAACTAGGTATCTCTGCAATTATCACTACTTATCTTGAAATTAGTGCATTTTAAAGCAAAAAGGATCTGAAAAGAAGAATTCAAATGCCACTTCTAGGCTTTCCCACAAGTAAACATGACCACCTGAAAAAGTCAGTGTCTCAATTTCATTTTGTAAAGCTGAGAATCATAATAATTAAATTGCATATAAAATTATTGAGGGCTTGTTTTGAATAGACCCACTTGAATTTTCATGTGTTACAAGCTGTAGAAGGAAGCTTGGAAAGGAAAATAAATTTTCTGTTACTTTAGGTGAGCAAGATTATTTTCTTACATAATTTTCTTATTGTCAAATTAGATGATAAAAACTGAATTGTAGATATGAGTGTTTGTTACAATATTTAACAGCGTTTGTTGCGAACACTTTCATCACTGACATCAGCCTCTTAAGACTTTCCAGGTCCTCAGAAATCCTCCTTGTTTCACTTTGGAGTCTGGGATGCTGCTTGGATGCTATTTATAGAAACAGTTCTAGCTCAACAAGTATGCAGCGAGTGAGGATGGCAGTTTTAAATCACAGGGTAAAACTGGGCTCACTTCCCAACAACACGCAGGCTGGGAACTAAGCAGGAAGGAAGGCCTGTTTATGAGCGTCTTGTGCGCAACTATGTCTGAGTAGGCAGCCGAATAAAACAATGTTCTCCTGTGTAGTTATTCTTCTAGCAAAGGACTGACAATGTGAGGAAAAACTCCTTGGGTAAGTAAAGGAGCAAGTGTGATGGCAGGATAGCAGTTTATTACTTTTTTTTTTTGCTGTGTCTGACTGCACAGATAGCAGTAGTTTTGGCTTTGTTTCTTGTGGTTTACAAGCTGTTGCCAAATACAGCTTTTGTTCCCTCAAGAAGTTTGTGGAATCTGCTTTGCTTTGCAGAAATTAGCGTTTTAAAAAGAGATTATTTTGTTTGCTTTTTTAAATCAGGCTTTCTGTCCAAGTAAGTAAAGATTAAATGTCTCTCAAGTTGGAAAAACTCCAAGATAAATAGGATGAGAGATATTTGTATTTTAAATAATGAAACTGTTCTGTTTGGAATGAAGTACTGGCCTTTTTCTAAAATGTCATCTTTCTCTGTTTTTGTTTGTACTTCTAAAAGGCCTGAAGATCTGTCAGTAAGAAAGAGAAAAATGTTACTCTTGGATTTTTTTTTTCTTCACCATAGCGCTACCTCCTGCAAATGATTTTCTACTTAAACCGGAAATGCTGTTAAGGTTGATTTCTGTAGTTTCTGCTACAGGTTACTGTTATTCTTGTTACAAGTTCATGTGCTGGTAGAAATGTGACATTGTTACAGAAATCTGCTTGACAGTTCTAAAATACATACATTTTTTGGATCAGCTTAAGAAAGTAAAACCCCACAGATTTTACACTGCATCTGTTACCAGCACATAGTAAATATTTTATTTACAAGGTCTTAGAAACAAATTTTACAGCTACCTTTTTTTTTTTTTTTTAACTTTATGCTCTCTGTAGAGGAATGTGAAAATATGAGCCGTTATGATAGACAAGACAGAAATGCTAGGCAGCATCAGGAAGGATTCTGGAAAAGAGCACCACAGCAGCGATGGAATACGCAGGATCACTATCATCTTGGCCATACTGATCACTATATCCATGGTAAAAATGATTTAAACAGGTAAAGAACTTCACTTTTATTCCAAATAATTAAAATACTGTTATGAGAAATCTGTTTTGGCACTAATGAGTCTCAAGTGATACTGACTACAACACATTTTCAGAATAGTTATGTCTGTAAATGCATGTCTGAGTGGGAGCATCATTGAGATTTATAACAATTTCTTTTCAAACTTTTTGTTTCTGTCAAGGTTTTTAATCCAAGTATATGTTACTTGTGTTTATCTGGTATTATAAATGCTTAACTAAATTATCACATGTTCCATGGAAAAGCATTACACTGTCTTATTACTTGAATTTTGTAAGTTTGGAGAGCTTTTTACTTATTCATGTGCTTTGAAATTAAATATAATCTATAGTTCTTACAGGCTAGCTTGAATGACAGTTTATAGCAACATTTTCTAGGGTACTGGAGTTAGTAGTCCCCAAGAGTTGTGTGCAGGGTGGGGGAAGAAAGCCCAGCATTGAAGTGAAATAGCATTGGCATTTTCTAATTTATTTTCTGCTGTATGGCATGGTATGTGAGTATGGCCCATGTTACATAACACTTTATTGTTTACTAAATGCTGTCTAGCTCTAGTTTGCAGCCACTGTAGTTTTAATATTTATTTATCTATCTATCTATTTATTTATTTATCTATTTATTTATCTATTTATTTATTTATTTAAGGGGATCAAACTACTTAGAGTCTCCTGTGGGTCACTTTGAAAGCTATGGAGCACCAAATTTTTACCAGGCTCCTAGACAGATGGTGGGCTTACCAGAGAATACTGTGATGCTTGATGAAATGACCCTTCGACACATGGTCCAAGACTGCACAGCTGTAAAAACTCAGTTATTGAAACTGAAGAGATTGTTGCACCAGGTGAGGTGTTTAAATGGAACAAAACTGGTGAAGTATATTGGAGAGTGAGCCTAGATGAGCTAATGTTCTGTTCAGGCTTACTAGTCTATTGTCATTTCTGTTATACATTGAATTACAGTGTTCAAGAAAATGTGCACTTGTTACTTTTTCTGCTTTTTAATGACTGCAAAAAATATTAAATATTGTATTGTTATTCTGCTTCTCTGAGGAAATAATTCTAAGTAAAAGAAAAATATCAGTGGATGTCAAGACAAGCTTTTATTTACATAAAATCTTATATCCTTAATAAGATCCTAAAAAGCTGGGAGTAAAAAAAATAATTTAAAAAAATACTGAAGTCAATCCCATTGATCAAACTTGCATTCCACAAGTCAATGCTAATTTGTTTTTCTTACTCTTTTCATCTTCTTTGTGTGTTTTGACAAGAAGCTTAGCAAATCCTACAGGGTCATCTCTATTGGAAGTGCTCAAATTCAGCCTTTCTAGTGTATGAAATCACTGACTTGTTACAAGCTTTTGAGGAGCCTTTTCATTTCACCTCAAAACTTGGCAAATTGTGGGGGCTGGTAAACTGCTGGATGACTCCACAGAAGTATGGCATTTTCAGCTACAAAAATTGCTTAGCTATTAAAAAAAAAAAAGTCTGAGACATTTTGGAGTTGTATACAAATTAGCATTGAGAAGTATCTGTATGATGTTCTTTTTAACACTAGATATACTTCTGTTCTTTTCTAACAGGATATCATAGTGGAAATAAGTTTGTGCCCTAAAAGATACTAAAACAAAACAGCAAAACAAAAAGCAAATCAACCTTGAGGCTACTTAAAGGGTATGACTGTGCCTATTAGAAATGTGGCCATTTGTTTCCTGTAGCAACCGAGAATACTGGAGATGTTTTTCCACTGACAAAATCAGAAATGCAACTGGAACAAAAATAATGTAGTGTCAAAAGAGGAAGGGTGTGTTCTTAGAACCTAATGTCTCAGTAGTGGACAGCATGAACTGAGCCTTCTAACAGCCTTACGTTGACAATTAGTACATGAGATAGCAGTGAACTTTTTATCCAGAGCTTTAACACAAGCACAGTTGAACAACTAGATAGATGATCTGTCCATGTGTAGCTCATTATGTAAAGGTGTGCATGGTACAGCACATGTTACAGCACATGCACAAATAATGTGTTGCGTGTAGAATGTTGAATTTTAAATCTCAGTCTAGTTTATAATAGCCAGATTTCTGTAAAGGTTACAGGACACAAACCTTGCCTCAAGTAGCTCAGATTAGGCTTTTTAAAAAAAACCCTTTATATTGCAGAAGAAACTGTTACCTCCCAAGATGCATGTTCTTCAGACTTTACTGCTTCTCTTGTCAAAAGCTTGATCTTCTCCCCCTCCCTCCCTGTAATAGTGAGTTTTGTAACAACAATTATTACTCTTCCCTTCAAACTTTATCAAGCATATTTCTCTATATTTTCCTGACCTAAATGTCCCCTCTCTTGTTTTGCCGCTTCCAAAACTCATCATTGGACTTTGGAATGTTTATTCTACTCTCATGTGTACTTTTTAATGTGTTATATTTTTACAGTTATAGCTTTTAGCAAGATTAATTAGTTTGGATAGGTAGAAATAGAGCTGTAGTCAGGTCTTAGGCATGAGGGTTCACAGGAGCACTTATAGTAAGATCATAAGATACAGTAATTAAAAACAATTTTATACAATTATCTAATCAACTGTATTGTGGCTTACTGTAGAGCATAGCATGTAATGAATATATGCCTAGCAGACTCCTAGGGAAACTTAATGTGCGTTACTGGATTCATTGCTGTAACTGTATATAAATTATTTTGAATATTGCTAGCAACATAGCTGCAACAGCATGGGTTTGGTGTTGTGTTCCCAGTTCTGCCTGGAAAAATAAGTAGTTATTTGAGTAGTCTAGCCTTTTCTGAACTCTGTGTGACCAGGATAACAATGCCAGCAGTACACATACTCTGTGTGCTTACTCCTCACATACTGCCCTCTTTCTGTATCTTCAAGCAGTGAAACCAGGAATAGGTGTTTCATCTCATGCAGAGGTTTTTAAAATTTTTGCTGTAGTAAGTATAACCTTCTCTGACAGTGCAGTAATGTTCATTCTGTAGGAGTCGGTATAAAAACATACATTCTTTTTTGTACTAAATGCAGTTTTAATTATTTACAGGAAGATGCTAAACTACTGGTGAATGTTCTCAGTTAATATTTAACTGGAGCACCAACTTTGTATTGTAAAAAGAAAATGCTTTTGAAGTCTAACTCTAGTAATAATTGACATCTAAATGTTAATGCCTGTTAAACATTGACTGAGGTACTTAATTTGCATACTTAATAGAAATAAGTTTTCTTCC